CAAACAAAACCGGGGTGCACGAATTCATGTTGCTTCGCCTTTTAACATAAACGAAGAAGCGTTTCGGGGTTGATGAGGCTATACGAGCAAGCTCTACTTCATGCTGTAGACGAGCACCTCGTAGATACTGCATCCAGGCATTTCGAACCTCACGATATCGCTTGGAGGTATATAATAGAGGAGCAGATAAGTAAGTACGCCAACATCTGGCACGTCTGTTAAGTTGTTTGTGTACAGCAGAATCATACCAGGGTGGCTTTGTCCTAGTTTTATTCCTGCTAGATAGTGGTATATGGGGGAGAGATAGCTCACTCAAGCATGATTTAAATCTGTCCCAGGCCGTTTGAATGTCGTCACTTTCCAAAATGACACAAGGCGACTTTGCGGTCTTGGCTTTCATTGTCTGACAGTCCGCGCGCCATATATTTGGAACTCGATCGGGATGATCATTAGTCTGACGGATAAGGGCGCACCTAAATGAGAGACATGCGTGGTCCCTAGCACCGAGAGGTGGTTTGTATACAATAATCGTGATAAAATCAATGCATGTAGCGAAGATCAAAGCAAAGAGGGACGGTTTTCGACCCATCATGAATCTAGTAGGCCCATCGACAAATCGGTGCAGGGAAGCATGCAAGGTCAGCTCGAGAAGCTCGGTAGCCAAACACCATGTGACAGCGTCACAGGAAAAATTCTGCCAGTCAACGTCGGGAAGATTGAAGTCCCCCATCACTAAACACCAATTTACCGAATGCTCAAGAAGGAAAGCAGCAAGCCCCTTAGCAACGTTGTCGGGGCTTCTATAGACCAGCACAACTTTAAGTTGCGCGGAGGCAATACACAGGTTAACTGCGAGTGCCTCAACATCACCCTCTGATGATCTGAACTATACGTGTTAAAGACGGTAAGTGCGGAGTTAACGTACAAAGCAACGCCACCTCCGCGCTGAACAGAGGTGTGGTCACATCTCAGCAGTGCATAGCCTGGCAGGCACACTTCACTGTCAGTGACGTCCGTGGACAACCACGTTTCAGTGAATGCGTGAACGTCTGGACGGCAGTCGTCGACAAGGCAGCCGACTTCGCACAGCATGTTTCACAGGCTACGCATTGCTTAAGATCACCTGAAGGGAATTAGCATTGTGAGTCCGGGATCGTGCGCCACCAGAACCGGCTCTGCTAGGGCGGAAGTGGACCGCCGGCTCACCACCCGAAAACCCACCAAGAGGAGACCCTTTTGTTCTGCTTCACGGCTGGCTTTAAGATCTCTCATAGCCACACGCAATTTCAGCCTATCCGCCGAAGGGAGGTCTGGGAGCACAATGATACCAGTGCCCTTGAGCTTAAAGGCGAAACGCAGTAGTGCTTGGCGCTTCTCCGGGGTACACAGAACAACTCGAAACAAGCGAGGGCGTGACTTGTCAGCTGACAAGTTACCGAGTCTGGTTAGTTTGCGCACAGTCACGCCGGGGAAGCCGGGAGGCAGGATTTCGGTAACGCATATTCTAAACCACTGAAGGTCAGCAAGCATAGGGTCTCTTGGAAGAACAGCAGAAGACTCAGTGGCGTTTCTGAAAATAACATTGCAGTGGGTATACGAGTATACGCGATGCGGGGTATTTACCGAACTCTCCATGGACGTCGGTGGATTCAGTTTAGTGTCCATTTTTATAGCCTCTAGTGTCGTGGCTATTTTCAGTTGCAACGATTCCGTAGAAGTAGAATTTGAGGAGGGGAATGGGCGCCCGACGGATCTCTCATGTCCGCCTTAGGTTTTGCCGCTTTTTAACCCTCTTTCGCTTTCTTTTGACAAGGGCAGGAACCTGCTGCTCTCCTTCGCTAACAGCCAAATCAAACACGCTGTCTGAGGGTTCGTTACTAACAAGGTCGTTGCTAACAGGTAAACTGACATACGACAGTGAACAAATAGATGCAAGATCTGACAACTTGCCAGGGTCTTCTGGCCAGCTGAGCACGGACGTCAGGGAAACCACTCTTTCTCCTGCGTCTCCGTCAACCGCCTGTTCTGTGGATATAGCCATGGCTTCCCAAAATGGAAACCATGATAATGACACAAATGCCATCCCCCTCGTTCGTGAAATTCAACATTCAACTTGAAAGAGAAATGGGCTCAGTAATCCAGCATCCTGTAACGGTGTAGCATATATTATATCGTAAAAATAGCAACTTACAGTTTCCCAGGAACGTTGCTACGCCTGCCATGAACACAGGGATACTGCACGTACTGGCACGGGTACTCATCTGGCAACCTCTTCCACTTTTGCCGTTCATAATGCTGTGGAGTCACAGCCGTATACTTGCAAAAAGCTGTGGCAGTTGCAAATTTCTTTACATCGGACTCAACCTCATCAAGTTTCCGATAATAGTACGCACCAAAAGACATAACCTCTCAGATTCACCCACCATGATGACAGTTACAAATGTGGCGCCAAGTGATTTCCAATACTCCTTTAGTCTATCACAACCACTAACTATGAGAACCACATTAACCTCCTTCAATACCAAACATACACCGAGCTAACATGTGTATACTATATATATATATATATATATATATACAAACCACCCTATCTCCGTGGTGATGTTCTTTGCCTGGAAAAGATTCAAAGACTAGCAACCAGGATGGTTGAAGGTCAACGGGGGAAGACGTATGAAGATGGGACCGTCCTATCCGCCACTGGCGCGATTTTGAATGCGGGCTGTTGTTCATCGGGACCAGGACTCTCACATCTGGCGGGAACGAGTTTGCGGGCCAAGATGAAACGGCACAGCCTGGAGTATAATGGTAGCGTAGGATACTGATATGTAGATAAATAATTTGTAAACATTCTAAACAATCCAGC